TATATATATATATATATATATATATATATATATATATATATATATATATATATATATATATATATAAAATCCCTTAATTTCTGTTTAATGGAAATATTTTTAACACATTTCTAATGACAATTGTTTTAATAACTCATTTCTAATAACTGAGTAAATAATATTTGACTAGATATTCTTCAAGACAGTTCTATACAGCTTAAAGTGACATTTAAAGGCTTAACTAGGTTAATTAGCTTAACTAGGCAGGTTAGGGTAATTAGGCAAGTTATTGTATATCGATGGTTTGTTCTGTAGACAGTAAAAAAAAATTGCTTAAAGGGGCTGATAACATTGACCTTAAAATGTTTTTTAAAAAAATTCAAAACTGTTTTTATTCTAGCCGAAATAAGACTTTCTCCAGAAGAAAACATAACATTTTCTTGCTCTGACCTATATATATATATATATATATATATATATATATATATATATATATATATATATAACTGATTGTAAATTGTGTACAATGTTCCAAGAAAACAGACAAAATTAAAAGATATAACCTGTCATTTAGTTTTGTTTTATCTTGTGGAATGTTGCTTACACATAAAAGGGGATAAATAGGTGGAATAAAAAGTGTGTTGCCATCCTCGAAATTGTTCTTGTATGTTGTCTTCAACTTTAGTCTTCACAAGTGAGGCTGGCCCAAACCGGGACTGCAGTAGCCAAATCTAATCCTTGTTGTGGGAACCCTTAAATAAAGCAAGAAACCAAAAGGAGAAAGATTAGCATTGCAGCAGTTCATATTACCACAAATATATATTATTTGTTTTATGACATATAACTGGAGTATGTGTTATGCAAGTGCCTAGCTAAAATAATTAATTTAATTTTACCTTAAAGAGTATGTCTGAGCACTAATTTTCAGAAAAGCCATTTGAAAGTTAAATTCCTTGTGAAATCATAATGAATGTTTTTTTTTTTTTTGGTTTTTAGTATCATTGTGTTAGTATAAATCTGTATCTAAATATATGTCTAATCTTCAGATACCACATTACATGCAAATTAAACTAAGTTTCGTCAACTAAAATGTCACACTGTACACCACATTTAATATATCATAGCTAGGGCCAGGAGGAATCTGCAGATGTTTTTTTGCTATTTCTGCTGAAAATTTTGGTGGAAGTCTGCGGATTTCTGCGGAATTATTTTGGGATTATCATAACTTAAACCTTAATATATGAAATAAAAAAAATAATTTATTTAAGTTTTATTTAATGTTTAAAATGCAAATCCAATTAGATTCACTTTATTTGGTAAATAAAGCAAGTTTTTTATATAACATATCTAGTAAGACAGAAAATATTACTGTACAAACCTCATTGTACATAAATCAGACGAACATTTTAACATTAGTCAATAATATTACTGAAATTAATTTAAAAACTGAATAAATATAGATTTACACACATTTACTCAAGTAAATAAACAGAATTAATGATAGGCTAAACATCTGCGGAGTTCTGCAAAAATTCCGGGTCGGCCTAATCATAGCTTTATTTCTGCTACAAAAACAATTATATGCAGGCTATAGAGGAGGATATATAAAGAAATTATATATTCAACTCTCTAATTAAATGCACCTGATGCAGCTAATCGAGTCTTTTAGGCTTATTTGAAAACTTAAATGACGTGTTGGACCACAGTTGGACAACGCTCAGTGAGAATACTTTTTTGCACAAATTCTTTTTGTTCTAAAGAAACATGTCTGATTGCTAGCAATCATCAAAGAGCAAACTTTTTTGTTTTTCAAATAAATACTATGCTCTTAAAAATAAACTTTTCATACATCAAGAATACTATTTAAAATGTTTTATATTTAAAAAAACAGCTAGAGGACAGAATCAGTACATTGGAATACTATTTTTTCAGAAGGATCATGTGACACTATTAATTATATACACTGTATTAAATTCACAGTATTACTGCTTGACTGTATTAATTAAATAAAGCTGACACTATCAGAAGAGAATTTACCATACCAACCTAAAAGCTATGAAACAGTAGTGTATGTTTAAGATGTTACTTACTAGTCCTATTGTACTTTGGAGAGGTTGTCTGAAAGGAGGATCCCTTCAACTCAGCAGAATTCTCAGCAGACCATCAGCGTACACCAATCTAAGAATAAAATAAGCAATTTGTTAAAAACCAAAAATATATATATTTTATATTTCCAGGTTTATAGGAAAGAAGAAAGCTAAAGCAGATTTAAAATGCAGGAAAAAAATAAAACCTATTGACAATTTAATGGCACAACATACCCCAAACTAAGCACGCTCAAATGGTTAATTTACATAAATGACAAACTGCTGCACATTATACCAATATTAACTGTTAAGGATTCATTCATTCATTTTCTTTTGGGCGTAGTCCCTTTATTAATCTGGGGTCGCCACAGCGGAATGAAAGGCCAACTTATCCAGCATATGTTTTACGCAGCGGATGCCCTTTCAGCTGCAACCAATACACACTCGTTCACACACACTTATACACTATGGTCAATTTTAGCATACCCAATTCACCTATTTCTTTGGACTTGGGAAAACGGGAGCACCTGGAGGAAACCCATGCCAACACAGGGAGAGCATGCAAACTTCACACAGAAACGCCAACTGACCCAGCCGAAGCTCGAAGCAGCGACTTTCTTGCTGTGAGGCAAACGTGCTACCCTCAGCGCCACCGTGCTGCCCTGTTAGGGAATCAGATTAATATAAATGAATTGACATGTTTATTTAGTGTCTGACACATTAAATATTGCATTTTTAAATATTGTTTCATTTTAAGATTTATTTCAGAATTAACTATAGAACCTGGACATATCGTCACATTTTCATGCACAGAAGCATTTCCAAGAACATAGAAAAACAGAATAAAGGCCAACTGAAAAAATAAAAAATAAAAAAAACTCTGACTGAATGCTTTAAGTAACTGGCTAGGAATGGGCAGGTATAAGATTCTGAAGGTATAATCTTAGATAAAAATATCACAGTTTCACAGTATTGTGATTACTGCTCTGAAATGTGTTTTTTTTTATCTCTGTGTAAAAAACAGCTACTTTTTCCCCATTGAACACAATATGTTTTATTTTAAGAAACATTTAAAATATTTTGTAACAGTAAACATGCCAGGCTAAATAATAATTTAATAAAATAGTACTATCTTCATTAGACTCAAAAACACTGAGTTCTTGTGAAGGCATAATAAGCTATTTGTTTTTCAGATGTTTGCTTAATCGTGAGCTGACCAGTAGCTTTTGATGTGGAGGGTCTTTTGCTGCTGTAAATAATGTTGGACTATTTTTTTAAGTCTTTGATAACGCGCTAAAAACCATATACAATGCATCTGGAAAGTATTGATAGCGCTTCACTTTTTCCACATTTTTAATGTTTCAGTCTTATTGCAAAATGTATTAAATTCATTAATTTCCTCAAAATTCTACACACAATCCCCATAATGTGTGTTGACCCGATTTTAGTTAATCATTTACAAGTCAATATTGCCTATACGGATTGTAATTTAAAAAAAAATTAACATGTAAAATTGCAGTGTTAAATGCAATGCCATCAAACATTTTAGACGCACCAGTGCAAAAAGCTAGTCTAGAGCACTTGGAATGCTGGTGTAGTTCTAGTTAAATTCAGTTCAGTTAAAACTGTATATGCAGCCGGTCTCAAGTATAGGATTTAGTATTTAACTAATCTTAGAAACTAAACATTTACGAGTCTGTATTAGCCAGCTCATGTACTACAATGTAACATACTGTATATTGCCACCTTGATACTTAAGCTTTCTTTAAAATATTTTGTGTTCAACCGATTAATTAATTCTTTCATTTATTTTTTTCAATGCAATAGTATAGCTTACACTGGTGTATTTGTATGGACCCCCCAAAATAGCGAAGGCCACTTTCTGGCCAACCAAGTATAAACTTCTAGCCTAGCCACTGTGAACTACCTGTCTGTGCTGCTCCAGAACTCTTTGTCGGCTGCTTGTATGTCTGGATAGTCTTTTAACACTGACAAATACAGCCTCTGCACATCCTCACAACCAGGAGAACAGAATGACCTGAAAAATATAACCAACTGAAATCAGTTGAAATGTATTTTGTCTTGTGATGATGACACAAAAATAAATTATTTTTCACAAAGGATGTGCTGTTACCTATGAAACGGTCTATAATGAATGATCTTTTGATCCTGTTTCCTTGATGTCATTCACTCAGATGGTTTGGACATTTGATTGTATCTAAACTGTAATGAATTTAAGTTACAAAAACATTGATAGCAGGACCATTGATCTTGTAACTCATACAAATTGTTAAGTATTGAACAAGTCTGCAACCAAACTAGTCAAGTTAATAATACAAATCTCAACCTAACTATGATTAGTTGTCTTGTTTCTGCTGCCCAGACGGTCTCTCCACCTGCTGATAAAAAAGGAAAAAGTATGGTATTTTTACAACAATGAAACTGCAAACAACTTAACTATAAGGGGGTAAGCAGTGAGCATCTTTTATTATAAGCAATTTACTGAATACTTTGTCACTGGTATTACCTAAAAACCAAACGTCCCAAGTTTGGCTCATAGCTGTCCACACATCTGCCCAGTAGCTTGTGGTAATACTGAAGACACTGATCAGCTGGTCCAACTGAGTTTGGAGTTGAACTGCAATCAGGCATCCAATACTGCAAAGAAAGAGAAACTCACTTTTGGTTAACAAATAATGTAATCCCATCCATGCATTTCAAGTAATTGTGCAGTTAATTCTCTTATTGAATTTTCTGAGAGCTTATGAATATATTTTGTCTTCCCAAAATAGCATGTACTGAAACACAATATATTATATAAATATAATTTAATAAGAGCGTGACGTGGTGGCACAATAGGTAGTGCTGTCGCCTTACAGCAAGGATGCTGACTCGAGCCTCGGCTGGATCAGCTGGCATTTCTGTGTGGAGTTTGCAAATTCTCCCTGCGTTTGAGTGGGTTTTCTCTGGGTGCTCCGGTTTTGCCTACAAGTCCAAAGACATGGGGTACAGGTGAATTGGGTAGGCTAAATTGTCTGTAGTGTATGAGTGAGAATAAGCGTATATGGTTGTTTCCCAGTGATGGGTTGCAGCTGTAAGGGCATCCACTGCGTAAAACATATGCTGGATAAGTTGACAGTTCATTCCGCTGTGGTTACCCCAGATTAATAAAGGGACTAAGCAGAAAAGAAAATTAATGAATGAATTTAATAAGAGTTAAACTGATCTGTTAACATGTCTGTCAGGAGCTGATCTACCTTATAATTAATTTTTTGCTTAATTTTTTTTAAAAGGGAAATCAATACCCACACATATACATATATATACACACACATATATATATAAAATGTATATAAAAATATAATATATATAAAAAATGGTTCCAGTAGTAACGCTCCTTAAAGTTAAACTACATATTCACATTCCTCATCTGTCTACTGTTACATTATACTAATTACTGTTACATACAGTGGCCGAGAGTGCAAAGAGAGTAATAAAACACAGACAAAAAAGACAGCTTTGTCACTTTTTCTATGCTATTTGTGAGATTGTGTATGTTGTCAAACTGATGAAAATGTTTTCTCAATTTACTTTAACATTTTTGTGTTTATGTTTTTATAACTTGCAGCCGTTGTTAAATTTAAAAGTATTTTAAACATGGATGGACATCTAAATGCATATAGGGCACATCTCAAAACATTATTAAATTTTTCCAGATAAATCAATTTTGAATTAAAACGTATATTAATCTCTAGACTTGCATCTCCCTGATCTTTTTAAAAGAACGGCCCCTCGTTTGCTCATCACTGTTTGACAAGTGTCTGGCAGTCCGTCAAAAATATACTTACATAAAAAGATGTTCATCAGCTACACGGCACTTAGGTTAAACTTTGACCTCCTTTTCAGATGATGTGGAAAACAAAACCAAAAGAAAGACAAAACAAAACGACATATCATGCCTGTACAAATCAAAATTTATTCATTTAGGGCTTAAATTGACTTGTTTGAGGATGAGTTAAGGTGTAAGGGATGGGTGAACGGTGTAAATATACATGTAATTCATAGCTATGATGTAAAGCTGAATTTTCAGCATCATTACTTAAGTCTTCAGTGTCACTTGATCTTTCAGAAATCTTTTTTAAAGATGTTGATTTAGTGCTTGAGGTTGAACTAATATAATGGTGATTATCAAATGGTGCTGATTTGCTGCTCAAGAAACATTTCTGATTGCTATCAATGCTAAAAACAGATGTGATGACAAATAATTTAGTGTAAACTTTTTTCTAAGATTTAATAAATCAATTAATCATAAAAAAACAAAATGAAAATAACAAATATTACTTCATTAGCAGCAAATCTGCATATTTATTAAGTTCTGAAGAATCATGTGATTTGAAATTTAACACCACTCACATGTTTCAATGTCAAAACTTTCTTAAAATAACTGCAATAAAGACAAGTAACAGATGCATAATATATAGACATGTAATATGTGCATTATGATGTGCAATGGAAATTCATATGAATTAATCCTCTGCTTAAAGTTACCTGTCTTTTCTGCATCTCTGTGATCAGCTCCCTTCAGAAATTTAGGAATCTTGTGTTATGTTTTCTGTAGCAGGGGGTTATTCTCTCACTCCTGAAACCACAGAACACTTTTTTACTTAACATTTGTTTATGATAACGTTACTATGAAATATCAAAACACGATTGAACTTTTGATTCACGGTCCTTTACAGTACAATCCCAGATAGCACACGTACGTCGCGGAGACGTCTTTGAAAGATCGTAACATCTGCTAAACATCGCATTCGATCGAACGTTTTCATTTGTTAAGGAGCCGTCTTCTTGACCTCTATACGCCGTCTATACGACGAATCTTGGACTCCTGAAATTACCGAGGCAAGCTGACAACAGACGCGACCATAGCAGCTTGAACTAGAATGAGGAAATGTCAATGTGTCAAATTAGTTTACTGTCAGAGATGTCACGACGCATGGGGTTTAAGGCAATGTCACTGATAATGTATTTAGCATTCATGACGTTCAAATTTTAAGCTTGATTATTTTTTTATGCCGGTTTTAGTACTGTCTAGTACTGCCAGTTTATTTTATGCACTGCTTCTTTAGTTAGAATAATGAAAACTGTATATGTTCACAGAATTAATAACTATTGAAACTTTTTTTAATAATTTAATTTATTTTCATAAGAAATAAAAATACAGTACAGCACACACACATCCAAACACACGAACACATTTTGGACCCATCATGCACACAGCCTTATATCTTTTTTTTTAGAGTTTTGTTTTTGTTAGATTTCATGATCTATCAATAGGTTGAGTAATGTATATGCAAAAAAATAAATAAATAAAGAACAGCAGTACTCTTACCTGCTTTTTATTGACCGACAGTGTTATTTTGCTAAAAGCATATACATATAGATACATATATATATATA